GGTGAGGAGAGGAAAAGAGAAGAGCGAGGCTGAACTCGAGCCTAGGGGGAAGGAACGAGGTGGAGGAAGTGTAGGAGGAGAAAGGGGTGGGGGCAAAATGCTCGCTCGTTTGCAAGACAAAGAACCCGAGCCGCCGTACGAACTCGTAGTCGTGCATAAACGCTATCAACCCCATCTACATATTCCAGGGACCTAGGGGACGTGGGTGAGCAGAGGGTGGCGAGAGCGAGGTAGGCCCGAGGCAGAAGGAGAGGAGAGAAAGATAGCGCGCGCGCAAACACGTCCAGAATCTCCAGGTTGGCTTTCCTCGTCTCTGTTTCTCTCGATTCTTTTCGTCCTTGTCCGGTGTGTAGGTGAAACGATAGCTTTAAGGGAAGAGACGAGCCGAATTCGAATCGTTCTCCTTCGGCGATTTTAGTTTCAGGGAGAACGGAAGAGGAGTGTATTGTAAGGATAATGGAGCGTAATAGGAATCGGAGGAGAGACGAGGTGGTTCTGAGAGGGAATCAAAAGATAGGGATGATTTTGAAGTTTATTGTAGATATGGTTTAACGAAATATGGTAATTCTAATTAGGATATATTTTATAAAACACGAAGGAAGGGAGGGGATCCCTATGCATGCACTATGCACGAAGGAAATAATTACTCTTAGCTTTCCTTATAAATTCGCATCAACATCAAAATCTATGATTAATTTCCTAAACTTAAATTTTCGTGAAAATAGAAAGGAAGAAGAGAGGGACAAATGGTATAGCTCGAAACATTTGCCTCACTGTGGCAGAAATTATGTTCTTATTTCTCTGGACTTTTTTCTATTCATACATGAAATATTTAGTACGCAGTGGTTACAAAAAGTATTGTCATATACTCTTATTTTCCAACGAAGTGTACTTCAATTAAATTCTATTATACATATTATACAAAAGCACTAGTATACAAAATATACTAGGACTTTATTAATTAGTATGCAAATGCTGTAATTGAATTACGGCCACTAATACATATTTTTCATTATTCATATTTTTATTAAAATAATTAAGAGAGATCTACGTAAATATTTGCTTTACCTATTAAACACTGTACTTGCTTCCGACATTTTTTCGCATAAAAATTCTAATAGAATACACTGGCGTGAATAATAATAAATATGCTGGTGTGCCAATATCTTTTATATCAATATCACTGTAACCAGCCCTACGTACGAAATTGGCACATAGAGAAGATACATCGGTCATCGACTGTTAATCCACATTGGCTGGCGAGTTGATAGCGAGGGATTCCCGAAAGAGGCTAGGGGAGGCGGTCTCGGGGGCGGGTGCAATGAGGGTAGGAAGAAGAGAAGCTATAGAAATAGAGAAGCGGGTTGAAACCCCCTTGACCCGACGCCAGAGGGAGGCTGCATGCCTGGCTGATTAGCCTAATGGTGAGTCCTCCTCTTATTCTCCTACTTGACGCCAGTTCGCGAGCCTCTCTTCTCTCTCTTATCCCACCACCATTTCCGTTTCCGTCTCTCCCTCCCTCTTTCTCTTTCTGTTCCTCTTTGTTACGCTCTCTCTATCCTTCATTTCTCTGGGGACGCACGGTCTCTTCCTACTTCCTCCATATTTCCCCCTGCGAGTTCGAGCCTTCGCATCAGGCTGCGGACCCCTTCATTCGATAAGAAATATTCCTTCAATTAGAACCCCGTAGGAATATCAATGTTTGCACGACCACCAAGAATCGTGGGACCACCTAGATACACAGACGAGTTTTAATTCGCCTCGAAAGGCAAAGGACACTGCGCAGCTAGCCAATCTGGCTTGGCTCTCGAGAGAAGATTTTCCTCTTCTTGGAAGAATTCCGAATCGTATTTATTAGATAGCGAACGGTTGAACACTGGTTTCTAAAGAAAGCATTTCTCTTTTATATTTGTTTGATCGGGACATAAAATTATTATGTTGGAAAGTGTTGGGAGGAATGTTTCCCTTAAAGTAATTGACACGTTTCTGCGAATTTAGAATTTCTCTTTCATCTGAATTAAAACCACGAATTAAATTTCCTCGTTTGAGCGATTCCATTTTCGGAGTGGACAACACGTATGTCTCCATATAATTTGAATATTAAATCGAGAATTGTGTGCTTCCGAATGAAAGTTCGTCGTTTCAGTGATTCTATTTTAAACGTTGGATGCAGTTCAAGCGGAATTGTTCTGTTGCTTATTGTTAGTCGAGATAAGCCACAGACAAAACCTGTTTATACAGTTGTCGCATATGACAGGGATGATATTAATATTTGCGCGGATCGATACAATGAAATGATACGTGAAGAGTTTGTCGCTAGCCGGGCCGTGTTGCTCTATTACAGGGCGCTCTATTACGAGAGAAATGTCCCATCAATTACAATTTGAGAGGGTTGTCAATATTTGAGCCGACACTAGCGGTTTAACTTCGTAAAAGAATTATTGATTCAACCGATAGCACTCAGTGTACGTTTTGTGAAAAGTCGACGATAGTTTAAGATTATCTTACAAAATCAAGAACTAAAGATACCAATATATTGCTCTCATTTTACGTTTAATTAGAAATAAAATTAGTTTTGTGTCACGTTGGACTTTTGAAATTAATAAATAATGTAACAAAGTTCTTCTATTTCTTTAGTTCTTGAAATCTTCAAATTAGTTTCTCGATTCTCGGAAACTTTAACTTGAATTTTTCAAATTGCATTTGTAAAATCAGCGTAATCTCGTTAGTTCTTTCTACTCTCGTTATTTAGTTCTTTCTTCCATTTTAAAGATCAAAGTTGAATTCTTGTAATTTGAACGTAAATTTTTACGAGTTTCTGAAATTCTGTTTTGAATTTTCGAAATTTAAATTCGAATCGGAAACTTTGTACTTAAAGTTTTGTAATGTAAATACGAAATATTTTAAATTGCAATCTCTGAAATTTAAATTCGACTTTTTGATATGTAAAGTCGACGTTTTGAAATTTGAATTTGAATTTTTTCTTAAATTTGCATCGAATTTGAATTTGTTTCGCAGACTCGTTTGCAAACGTGAACTTTTCATCCTTACATCTTCTGTTCAGTTTTGGATCCTACAATTTTATGAAATTTAACCAATTATAATATCGTGATTATTATAAAATTATTACTCTATTCTTAATGAATTGAACCCTCATTTAAACTACTAATATCACTAAAGATTTCTTATATTCTTCCCTTTCGAAGTCCTCAACATATTGCTGTAAAAACGGAAAGAAAAAAATAGAAGAGGAAAAGAAGAAACAGCGAGGACATCATCGTTGAACCTGTCGGGATATTCAATTTAAAGGCGATATTTAGGTACTCACCTGCTGCTGCGGCTGCTTTGCCCGCATCGAGCGTCCCGTATGGTGGGATTCCCATATGAGCAGGCGGTGGTTGAGTCAGGTGGTCCCCATTGGGGCAGAAGAAGGGCAAACCGCTCGGATGCGTACCCGCTAGACCCATCTTGCTCGCCTATAAATCAAACGGAGAAAGGAGAAACGGTTAGAGCGTGAACGGACACTGTGAGATCGAAACGAGTATATATTCAGCGTTAGTTTTCGTCACGGTATGCCGTACAAGACCTTGCGTGACGACGTTGCATTATCGTTATCGAGTAATTAATTAATACCCTGTTGATTAATGTTTCGTTAATGCAGCAAGGTAATTAGCAACCAGCCCGGGGATATTAATTAATTAATTGATACGCTGAAACCATCGACAGGTGTTTATGTGAGACGATATAAATTGATTTCTTTTCTCCCATCTCCCGTCCTCCCCGCTATCCCGTTTGATCGATGGCACGCGTCGTGTGCTTTGCTAATTGAATTTCGAAATTTTAAGATGTCGACGAGTTACGAAGAAGATCGATCAAGCGAAATTTGTTATATACATCGTTGGAGGAGAATGTGAAATAAAAATTCATTCGAACCGAACCATATTTACACGAGGGGTGAAAAATAGTCGAGGAGTAAAAAAAAAAAAAAGAATCGCAGAGGTTGAGAAACGAGAAGACCTAATAACATAATTGGTCTCTAAAAACGAGGAATCCTCGATTGATCAAGTGGCGACTATATAAGTTATCCTTGATCAAACAACGATAACATCGAGACCATCCCCCCATTTAGCAGAA